TAATTACGAGGGCACAAACAGTTATTATAAGTTACAGTATTTCACCAAGCTTGCACTACCTTCTGTTTACTCATTACCCGAAACTGTCATGCAGGCGTTCTCCCCCAGTGCAGGGGAGTGCCTTCCAGCCTGTTATGCATCATCAAAACTGGTTTAGTTTAGGCAGTTATTGCCCTGGGCTGGTTAGGCAAAGAGGAGGAACAACTTCCAGGGCTTAGTCTCGGTGCAAACATTCAGGCTTGTGAATAACAGTTGAAAGGATGTCGTCATCCTCCCTTCAGCATGCTGACAAAAATAAACAAAAGGTATATTTACTGTCTGTGTCTATGCCGTTGCCTTTCCAGCGGGTTGCAATCACCTAAACAGCTCCTCATTCTCAAATTGTGAAAGAACAGAGAAGGAACATGAGAATCTTTGTTCTTAATCATTTAACATTGAGTCTAACATTACAGTAGTGATTCACAGAGGCCAACAGACTGTACTTTATAGCCAAGAGCTAAGATAATGTTATCTCCTGTGATCAGCATGCTAGTTACTCAGGTCTGATAGCACTTTCTGAGCATCCTCTGGCTCCAGTGAGCTGTAGGTTTGAGGGCATGGGGGGGTGGGGGAGGGGGGGGGTCGATTTTATTTCTGCTCTGCGTTGTGGTTGTAGTTCACTCATTCTCCATTAAAGATTAATCAAGCAGAAGGTGTTGAGGAACAGAAAGCCCACTGAACTCAGCGTGTTTTTACAGGCCTCTGGGTGCCCTACTGGTCCAGCGCGCGGAGAATGTGGAGTTTAAAGAGCATAAGGACACCAGGAATGTTGGAAAGTCGGTATGAGAGGAGGAAGACAGCCAGACTGTGACTGAGCGAACGCCGGCGCTGGGAGTGGTGTTACGCTCTTTCAGTGTCTTGTTATCGCCTTTCAAGTCAAAAACAATCACACCTCTGACTGTGAAAACACAAGACATCTTTGTCATAAGAAATGAGCCATTAAAAAAACATTAAACATGACTTTAACAGAGGAAGACTCATAGAGAATAATGCTCTGAAATTCATGTGAGTGGTAATTCTATTTAAAAAAAAATCTTAAGAATCTCATAAAGAGTAATAATCTGTGACATTTTCAGATAAATGCGTGTTTTTCTGCTCTCTGTCACTGACTGTGCAGCACAATAGTGCTTCAAACTGTAGCCAGTTCATGAAAGCTTTTATATTTGTTGTTGTGAACCCCCAGTGTCAGGCAGGTCTATTGCAGGAAAAATCCTCCACTGCACAGCGAGTGATGCGTTTCATGTTCCCAGCAGTGGCAACAGCACTTTGTTTGGAAAGAAACAAGAATGAACTGGGTGGCAACAATAAGGTGATAATCAAAATTACCGATCAGGCCAAAAGACTCCACAGAAACTCAACGTTTCACTGAAAGAACTTCTCAGGATAAGCGTGAGGGACACATGGTTTGAATGACAAGTGATTCTGGGAAGTACAGTGGAAAAAACACCACAGCGTGAGCGATTAGTAGCAAAGATATGTCAGCAAAAGACGAAAGACAAACAAGATTCCTGTGGATTGCCACTTAAAAGCACACTCCAGCATGACTGAACAGAATGTAAGAGTTCCAGCCTTCATGTGAGAATCAGGTCAGGCATGAGAGAGGCAGCAGAGAAGAGAAACAGTAAGAGACGTGAGTGTACTGCTGTAGGAAGTTGGGGGAAACCCAGCCTGTCATGACTTGGACTTGGAAGAAACAGTACGCACACCTCTTCGTAGGGTATTAGTCTGAGGCCAGAGCTAGAGGGAATCTTTCCCAGGCACCCTTTACCATATTGGGAAGACAGGAAGAGTGCATTCATGCCTCAGGCTCTGTAAAAAACCCAGACTGGCTGACTACCAATGGGCCCGTTGACAGTAATCACTAATGGCCCTCAGACAAGTTATCAACAAGCCACATTGACATTTTCACTGCTTAACAGCTTGAGTTGCTTTATAAGTCAATTAAGATATAAGACACATGCAATGGTGAAACAGACTACACCTTCCATCACCATGTGGCTGCTCACTCCTGTAACATAAATACACACAGATACAGTCCTTTTTCTCGCTGGAATTCCATTTAATCACTTTCTAATTGATTTAATTCTCCAGATGGTCTGAAGCTAAATGCAGGGAAGAATACAAAGCACAGCTGAAAGTTGCCCTCTGGTTCCAAGAAGCCATGAGACCTCCATGTTTTTGTCTTATGTCTTTTTAAAATACCCATTCATTTAGAGCTGCAACACAAACACACATGCACAGACATACATTCACACACAGTAATGACCTCAATTAGACAAACAGCTCACCCCTGTTCTCACCCATCCTGAAAGGACTAGACCTTGTGGAAGAACCGGAATTAATGAGACCAAGCTAATCAATGGTCGACTTTCATGCTACAACAACGAATGCTGAGAGCATTTTAAATGGCAATACACATCTAACCATGCCGGAGAAATGTGAACCAGGCGAGACGCAAGCTGTTTAAATAGCCTCGCCTCGGATGGCGATCAATAATGCTTTGTGAACGGAGCCAGACCACAGCAGGCAGACTTTACCAGCAATTAAAAGGGAGACAATACTTTATCTGAAGAAGCTGAAAGCTTGGTTGTCAAAAAACAAACAAAAAAAACAACAGCTGTATCTCTACGTTGTGGCTTCGGAAGTGGAGGATTGACTGATGCAAATGTCTGAAATGAAACTGTCCAGTGAACTGTAGCCTGTAGCCACCAGAAAGTGGCACAGCACAATTCATTTGTCTTCCCAAAATAGCAGGTACTGGAAGCTCTGTGATCTACTTGTACTGAGGACGGCAATGTTGCTTGTGCCTCGTATTGTTAAAGGTAAAGTGGATACAAAGAAGAAATCTCCGTTGGCATCGCTCCTCGTTGGCACACAGCCACCATGATAGGTTCTTCCTTTTTGGACTTTACGGTTCTCCGTTCCCTCAAAGGTCAGCATTGTCAAGACGGTCTGCAAGTGGCCCACAGAGTGAATTCAAAGATCAAAGTTTACCAAAGTTTAACATGTTACTTCACCTCCGTGAGTAAATCCACTAATTGCAGCGATTCCAGTGAAATAAATTGATTTCAGTCTTAAATGTCTCTGTTATAAATGATGTGTGTGACCATGCCTAAGAGCCTGCACACTAAACTGGTGCTGCTGTTTCTACAGAGCTAGAAAAGGGGAGCTGAAGAACGTGAGGGGGTGAAGCAATAAAAAAAATCATACTCTGAAAAAGGGAATGAGGGGAGACATGCTATTTTCTTCAGATGAAAGCCTTTTTCATCCAAGTGTGAGCCAATTATTTTTCTTGTTGAGAGAAAATATGAACATCTGTGTTTGCTGTGAATCAGTGAATAATGGCACACCACACAAGGACCTCTGAACACACACACACACACACACACACACACACACACACACGCTTACCAAACACACAAACACACATTTGCCCTGTGGGTTGGGTGACGTCATGTTTGTTGTGGGGTGGGCGGCTCCTGGCTGAAGATTAAAGACTAACACTGCCAAAGGTGGTTTAGGGTTTTAAAGATGGACAGAAGCACAACATTCCCACTACATCATTAGGCTCTTACAGCCAGAGATAAGGAACTCTTCTAAGTTGCGCCCCCGGGCCCCAGAGGACCCCGACCCCTGACTGGCAGGCTCAAGCTGATTTACTCTCCGGGTCACCATGAGGTCCAAGGAAAAACAACATTCTTTCTCTGACTGATCATGTAACATAAAAATACTCCCATCATCTCTCCCGGAAGATAGTTTTTAGGTTTGGGAATGTTTATGGTAAAAAGGAGGAATTCCCCCTGGGAGGATTTCATATTCAGTCCTCTGACTTGGCCAGTCTTGTCACTGGTCAGATTGCTGACAGGAGCCCGCAGCCTGAGATGACTAAGATAAGATGTAGATCTCAGGGTGCCTCAGAGCAGTAAGCCCGTCCATGCTGACAAAACTGGGATGAAAGTAGAGCATGGCTTTCTCACTGATGCAACTGGCTGCCTGGTGGCAACAACTACCTCCCCAGCAGGAAGCATATTCATATGCTGAATCACATGAGAAGTCATCCACCAGACAAAGCGAGGATGATTTGCTTGAAAGTCCCCTCCTGATGTCACAACAATGCTGCTCACATGAATTCCTTTTTGTGGAGCAACAGTTTTTCACACTGACGTCAACAGTAGCTGTTATTCTGAGAGTAATTATCAACATGTTTAAATGTGACGTTTTTAATACCTTGAGAATTTTATTCAGTGTGGAAAATCTCCTGAAACAACATTTACAAGATCACTAAAACTTTCGGTTGAAACATTGTTGAATGAATATCTTTCAGGATCAGAACAGGTAGGTGTGGTGGCCAGCTGTGTAAACGCTGCAAACATTACTCGCTCTATATTATTGATTCTATAACAAATGTCTCAATAAAACTGGCAAAAGAAATAAAACTGAAAATGAGAGTTGACTGTCTATATGACATGTCAAACATCTGGCCCAATATTAAATCGACATGTCAGCAAACTACTATATCAGTCAAACAAGGGCAGTTACTGGTCACTTTAGGCACATCCTGTCTCAATTATCCACGCGCCCCCCCCCCCGGTCGCCTGACCCTCGGCCAGAGCATGGGAAGAGCCTGCCACACACGATGGACAGCACAGGAAGGAATGCAAACACAAGGCACCGAGAGACATGGCTGGCACCAACAAGTTTCCAGCAAAGACAACAAGAATAAATAGCACATATTCCAAGCTACAAAAATAAAATAAAACTTAAAAAACAAAAAGACATCCATATGATGTTGGCAAGGTCAAAGCAATTTGTCAAAGAGATGACTGCTGGAAAAGTTGGAAAAGGGAGTCAGTCCTCCCACGGTCGCAGCCAGGGACCGGCACCATGGCAGGGCTGGGACTGGATTGATTTGATGTCAGCCTTTCAGAGACGGTGCAGAGAGAGATATGAAATTGTCTTACCTGACGTGTCCCACATATTCAGCTCAATCCGGTGCTTGTCTATCTCAAAACTGGCTGTGTAGTTTTCAAACACTGTGGGCACGTAGTTCTGAAAATAAAAGGATGCATTTTAGTTATTCAGTTAAGAGGCACAAGATAAGCCTGTGTTTACACAGCCACGGACTTCAGAAGAGTAGACTAATGGGAATATCACATATCTGAAATGATGCAGCAGACAAATAAAACAGCAGACTCATTTCACAGCAAAGTGTCCCTTCAGGGGTGTTTCAGAAATATAGTGATATTAAAGCAGATGAAGACAACGCCTTAAAGTTTTATGGGCACTTCTGCAGACACAATAAAAGTCCATTTAGACGTTAGAGGACTATTACAGTGATTTTACAGGCGTTCCTTACAGTTCCCTCTACACCTTCTCTCTTTCTTGTATTAACATTTCTGTCTTCAAGCAGGTGGATGTAACCTGCTGAACAAGTGCTGAAGTTGACCTGTTCCATATTACATTTTGACGCCAGTGCTTCTCACTCTCATTTCTCTTCAAATTAAAAAAGAATAAGTTGAGACTTTTGATAGACCTACCTCTGGATAGCAGTCCTTGGCAAAAACGTGCAGGAGTGCCGTTTTCCCACACTGCGTGTCCCCGACCACCACAATTTTACAGCGGCTGCCTAGACTGTCCATGGTTTTCTGTCCGTCAGAGGTGTGTTGTTGACGCGGGGATGGGTTGCATTCAGCATCCGTTAAGAGGTGCAGCGGAATCGAAGACGGGAAAGAAAAATGAGGCAGATACTTGAATACATGCGCCGACCCTGGTGCGCTTTATCCAGCTCCTCCTGTCCTCGGCTCTCTGGTCCCGCTGACAGGCTCCGTTTGACTGGTCGGCTACTGAAAGGGCGCACACAGCCCTCCCTGGAAACTGGTACTTTGATTACTGGCCACGCCTTCCTAATATTCACGTCTGAGTCTCTATCACTCAACTGTAATGGACAGCTCTTGTGGGAAATAAAGGGTCTGCTATGGTGACCTTATCCTATTTGTTTTTGCCGCCGTTGGTATCCTTTTAATATCTCAATGATATTACTAAAGTAATGACTGTATCAGCGGGAATCTCAGAGTCTATGGACACTGCCTCTTGATCCCTAGTATCTATATTACATTGGTTTTCGGAACTTTGAGAACATCAGAATGACATGATTGCCTCATATTGTGTCCCTGCAAATAATATTGGCTCTTGAAATTGCCTTTAAGAACGTGACTTATAATATGATAAAGCTCTTTTGTCACAGTTAATATTTTACCTCCCATCAGGTCTACAGTGGCACTATAATAGTATTATAGAATGTAAGTTAATTAATAATAGTTATTATCACAAGATCTCATTAGAGCCCATTGAGACGATTGGCACTGCAGGCTATTATATTCCCATAAGGAACTTGTCAGTGGCTGCGCTCCATAAAAGCAGAGAGATACACGATTTAACTGATATTTTATCATTTTCTTTTTCTGTTTTGTGTAATTTCTGTTCAGAAACAACTCAGCAATGCACTCTAGATTTCTTGTTCAAATTAGTGACTTCGGTTCTTAGGGATCCGAGGTTTGATTTATTCACTGAACAGATGAATAATTCTTTCTTTTCAAGATAAAGTTGTAAGGTGGTGATTTCTTGCATGCTGTGATACATTGCTCCGTAGTGGGGCTGATATTTAAGAATATGATGCATGGAAAAAGCATTTAAATTCTCCTTAATTAGCTAAATGATCTCATTATCTATTTGTTGACAGTGGAGTTTGTTAGCCTTATGATGATAACAGACTAAAGACCTATTTTTCCTCATTACTGTTTTACTGGAAAGCAGCATAAACACTGTGCAGAGTGCATGCACACTAAGCTTCTTGATTTAGTGCCAGCATGACCTCTTAATGGATATACAATAAATGCAGCGTACATAGATAAAATAGTCCATCAAATTAAGTAGTTAGAGTTGACTGCGCTGTCTTTATGGGTCTCTTCGCCTTTCATTTACTTGATATTCCTCGGAAGTGCCCCGCTGAGCAGTTATTGGTTTTTTGAATGAGATAATTAAATGACGCGGCACCACGTGCCACGACAGGTCAGCCCTGTTGAGTCATCTTTTCTCCACTGAAGACCGACACTGTCACCCTCTGGACAACAATGATACTACATCACATTGCAACCTATTAGTCAAACACATAATATGGATTGGGAAATCGATAACAGCAAGAGCACAATAAGCAGGACGACAGTATATCTCAATCCAATACAATAGACATGCACATTTTATTCCAATTGCTTCTTCGCATGGAGGGACCCTCTTTCAGTATTGGAATAAGGATTCGGCTCCTTTACCTAAATAAAAGTACTAATAGAACAATGAAAAAATACTCAATTACTTGTAAAACTCCCTGCTTAGTGAAGTTTTATCATCTAGTACAAGAGTATTATTAGCAAAAATCTACCATAAGTAAGAAAAATAATAATAATACTGGTTCTGCAGAAAAATGCCCCCTGAAAAAGATGAGAAGATATTATTATATATGAATTATTAGATTGTTCATACTGAATTAATACATAACCAGCATTTTATTGTTGTGGCTGACTGTGATGACGGTCATTTTTAGACTAAACTGGACTATTTTATAACTCAATTTGTAGAATTGAATTTAAAATCCTCCTCCTCACCTATAAAGCTCTTCATGGTCAGGCCCCTTCATATCTTAAATAGCTCATAGTACCCTATTACCCCTCTAGAACACTACGTTCTCTGAATGCTGGGCTACTTGTGGTTCCTATAGTCTCTAAAAGTAGAACAGGAGCCAGAGCCTTCAGTTACCAAGCTCCTCTCCTGTGGAACCAGCTTCCAGTTGTGGTTCGGGAGGCAGACACCCTCACCACATTCAAGAGTAGGCTTAAGACATTCCTCTTTGATAAAGCTTATAGTTAGGGCTGGATCAGGTGAGTCCTGAACCATCCCTTAGTTATGCTGCTATAGGCCTAGACTATCGGGGGATTTCCCATGGTGCACTGAGCTCCTCCCTTCCTCTCTCTTTATGCACTCATTCATGTCCCATTAATGCATGTTACTAACTCCACTTCTTCCCCGGAGTTCTTGTGCTTTCTCGTCTCGCAGGTTCTCATGGATCCTGGTGGAGCCTCCTGCCATGGTCCTGCTTGACTGCCATTGCCAATACTGTTGTTGCTGTGCACCTGTCTGTCTGTCTGTCTCTCCTGTCTCTCTCTCTCTCTCTCTCTCTCTCTCTCTCTCTCTCTCTCTCTCTCTCTCTCTCTCACCCCAACTGGTCGAGACAGACGACCACCCACCTAGAGCCGGAGGATCTGTCCTAGGTTTCTGCCTTTTAACAGGCAGTTTTTCCTTGCCCTTGTCGCCAAGTGCTTGCTCATGGTGGTACTGTTGGGTCTCTGTAATTAATGTTAAAGAGTTCGGTCTAGACCTGCTCTATTTGAAAAGTGTCCTGAGATAACTTCTGTTATGAATTGGCGCTATACAAATAAAATTGAATTGAATTGAATTGAATTGAATTTAGTCTAAACAACGTTTTGCAACAACTTTAACAAGTAAACTTACCCTACAGTTTTAAGGTAAAATCTTAATCTGAAAAGTAATTATAGCTGTCAAATAAATGTAATGGAATAAAAAATACTATATTTCCCTCAGAGATGTAGTCGAAGTAAAGTAGTATAAAATGGAAATACTCAAGTAAAATAAAAGTACCTCAAAATTGTACTTAAATACAAATACGTAGGTGCTCCCACCACTGAGATTAAAAGGCCTCAAGAAGACCATCTACTGTGGATTTCTGTTAACTGTTCCAGGAGCTATGAGCAGTCTTGACTCTTTCGCAAATTTAAAATTGTATAAAAATGGTTGACAGCATATTCTGAGGATTATCCTTGTTTCTGGAGAAGTTCTGTTGCTGTGTTTTTCAGACTTCCTTAGATATTAAAAGAGTGCTAGAAGTTTCAGAGGTCGACATCTCAAAACCTGTGCAAACTCACCATTAGTGGGAAAATTAGTTTGTGTGTGTGAGAGAGAAATATTTAGGGGAACCCTTTAGAGTTAAAGTCACTCTAAGAGAGTCAATAGAACAGCAGGTGGCAGTATGTATTTATTACTAGTGCAGCCTTTTGTATATTTTAGCTCAGGACCTCCAGTGTGGACACAAATATTTTATCATTTTTTCAGGACACGGCTCAAGTTCATTGTGTTCGTATAAGCACTTTCCATTTAATGCCCACAGAACAGACTGTTTGCATATCATAGTTACACACATGCATGATTACAAATGCATTCATGTGAGCATAAATGCATAAACGCTTACAGTAACAGTGGGAGGATTGCACTCATTCTCGTGCTGACTATTCAACACAGTCCACTGCATCTGCCAGCAGGTGGGTGTAGTGTTCTGCAGTCCCACTGCCTGTATATTAGTATGACTGTGCTGAATGGTTTTGTGCTGAGATGCTCTGATGGATATGCTACTTAACCAATAAACTCATTACACCCATGCATGAATAGAGCAGACATGTCAGTGCCAGAACAGTCAACAGGAGGGTAAATGAAGAAAAATGTAAAAAGGTTGAATTGGTAAGGAGCCAGTATGCAGTGACTTTCAGTTTCTGTAAACTTGCCAGGAAGAGCTGATTGATCCTATAGACTTTACTGTGAAATGGACAAAAGTTCTGTCAAACTCAGCATTTTAATCTTTAAATGACAGTAGCATATAATGATTATACTGTATATTCTCTGGCACCCTCTGAAACCGAACACTAATCTTTGTGGGATGAGACAATAAATCTAATGCTGCAAGGCCAGGGTTGGAAGGGTTGCTAAATGTAATCAGATACAATCACTAATTACTTGTTAATTAATTAGCAAATATGCAAATAAAAACAAAAGAAAATAAATTAGATGTTTTCGGCTACTCTGGCTAATTAGACCAGATTTTACATACAAAATATACAATCACTTAAACTTGCTTGAGCTATCCAACAGAAAAATAAATAATTAGAATCTGCTAAACCTTGAACAGCATATTAATAGTGCTTATATTTGAATGTATCAGTACTAACATGTCAGTATGTATGAGTACATTTTTAAACAGTGGTATTGCTACTTTTACTTAAGTAAAGCATTTAAGGCACCCACAAATACTTTTCAGGACATAGATTTTCTTTTCCTGCATCTCATAAATTATGTTGATTCTCCGACTTTCTAAATACGGCACAGTTATTCTTCAATCCTCTAAAATATATTCAAATGAAACAATCTGAGAAGGCAACAGCACAATTTGTTTAAACTTTACACTTGTATACATTACGCAGTAAGAGTTATAAGCCAAAGGGACTGGGGACCACTGGTTCAGCAAAACAGCAGCACTGGAAGAGGTTCAGCATCTTGCCCAAGGATGCAGTAATAATGCATGAAAGAATAGCACTTGTGTGTTGGAAGGTAACCATAAATTGAACAATAATACATTTCGGCACCTTAATACTTTCAGTAATAAGCAGGTAAGTCACCATAGTCACTGAACATGAAGGTATTAATGTTTCTCACATCTGCAGGCAGCATGTGTAGGATTTGCATGATTTATCATAAGTCATTTTTCTATCAATCCCAGTATTTGCGCAGTTTTAATGGAAGTGAAAATATCTGTGTGTTTGTAGTTCAGACACACACATCCTCAGAGACTGTCCAGACTCCCTGCAGACTCAGTCTATTTGCCTGGCAGCGGTGACACAGTAGTTTATCCAGGCCAAATTGCACCGCTGAGCAACATTATGCATTCAGTAACCTACTTAGACAATAGAGGAAGTCTCCAAACTACACCAGGTGTCCATGGCAGTACATCTCTGTTCCTGCGTCCTATTCCTGTGTTCCTTTAACCACAGCCATTTCCTGTGATGGATTCATTTTCAAACCCTTTTTAGCTGCTGGAACATGTTCTGAAATTTTCTTCTTGGCTTCACAGTGAAACACATTGAAAACTTTTGCATTATGCTTCTCTTCTAATCCTTTTTTCAGACTCCAACCTGCAGTCCAAGTCATTTTCCTGACGGTGCCTTGCTGGTATATTACCATACTGGCCCTGTCAGAGCTAATGAGGAGAAGAGCCACTCTGTGAGCACCCACAGCATACTGATGTGTATTCAAAGTGGCTCAGTGCGGTTGGTGAGGAAGAACAGACAATCTGCGTTGTAACATTCTGCCTGTGTCAAAGCGGCAGATCAATCAACGCCTGCATCGTATATCATTATGCCCCTGTGGGATATTGATTGGGACATTGCTGACTTTGGACCCAGTAGTGCTGAGTGGCACTTTACGGCCACAAGGTGTCTCACCACTCCTGCTGTGGTTACATCTCTCTGAATGGACACTGGGCTGGTCTCTCAGCTGTGAAGAGCTGGAAAATGTGAATAGACTCTGGTTTCTTTGTGTGACAAATATAAGAGACACTGTCAGCTGCATTTATGACCACAAAAGTTTAACTATTTGTTTGTATCACCCAAGCCACCAAGACTTTCTCCAAAAATGCTCTGGATTTGGAGTGGCCCTGTCCAGTGTGTGCTAGCTTTTGACCATCAGGTCATCCCGCCCTATGGCTCTGGCTGCCTGCACTGAAACTGAATCATACAAAGCAGGTTATATCGTTTAATCAAAAACTAGCGTGACCTAAACACAAACTCATATTTTTCTGAGCTGCCTTTGCGGGGAAGTTAAAACAATGAGCCAGACGCAGGCCCAAAGTTCCTGCTAGTCCTACTGTAGAATAGGCGGCATAAACAGACATTTCCTCTGCCTCCTACTGTTCCAGCACCACAAACCTCACTGTTAAACAAGCAGCAGTAAACTGAAATAAGCAAATACTTGCTGAATTCATTAATTGTGTCTATTTATTCTCATCTGAGGGGCAGAAGTGCACTATATTCTGAAGACATGTTACTGACAGCTCAAAAATGAATAACCAATATACAGTGCTGAGTTTATAGTGACTTATTTTGTCTCTTGAGGTAATAATATGTGTTTCTTTATTTGGCATATACTCTTATGATATTACAATAGTTTCACTTTAATGTGTGTGAGACTTGCAGTAATCAACAGATTTTGTTTTGCTGGGTTGGCTTCAGCTTTATTTGCCTTTTAGCTATAATGGACATTTTTGCAAATCACCTCTCTGCTTGATGCAATATAGGTTTATCTTATAGCCCTACCCAAGCAGCCAAACCCATCCAATCACACGAGCCAATCCCTGGGTTTCATTAGCTCTCCGGGTTTTCCAGCCTGCCTCTGTCTCGTCCCACTCACACTCTCTCTGTCAGAGCGCGGCGTTGACAGCCACTGGCCACTGAGCAGCCCACTCTGTCGGGGTTTGTGTCTCCATGCAAGACTGCTGAAAAAGAAGCTCTGACTCTCGCATTTTCTTTTATTTGCAAGGCAAGTAAAACAACAAGCCCGCCCACGGCAACGGAAGCACAAGAAGTGGGGGAAAAAAATCATCTAACTCATTTTTCTAGACTCATCACTGTCTCGCAGCTCCCTGCACAATGTCTGGAGAGGACGCACCTGCCCAGCAGCAAAACGCCGTGGACCAGAAGCAGGAGACCAAACCCGCCGAGGAGCCCAAAAACGAGCCACCCAAGACGGAGTCCCCACCTGCTGCTGCTGCCGAGGCAGCGGCTACCCCTGCGGCGACCACCGAGAAGGTCCCCGAGGAGGAGACGTTCACCTACCGCGCCCTGGTGCTCACCGGCTACGGGGGCTATGATAAAGTGAAGCTGCAGGTGAAGAAGGGAAAGCCGGCGCTCAAGGCTGGCGAGCTCCTGGTGCGGGTCAAGGCTTGCGGGCTGAACTTCGCGGACCTGATGGCTCGGCAGGGGCTGTACGACCGGCTGCCGTCCCCACCGGTCACCCCGGGAATGGAGTGCGCCGGGGTGGTGGAGGCTGTGGGGGAAGAAGTGACGGACAGAAAAGTAAGCACACGTGCCCCTCAGCTTTTTTTTTTTTACAACTTGAAGTCTGATTTGACCGTGTGTGTTTTATTGTCTGAGTGATGAATATTTGTCTCCGTTTTTTGGTGCTGAACAGCTACATCTGGATATGGGCGTGTCAGGCTTTGCTCGCTACTCAGGGAGTGGTGGCAGTGCTGTACTCTGTATTAAACAGTTTCATCACTTTATGAATTTAATGTAAAGGGCCTATTGGGGAGGGCAATTAACATAATAATAGGTTAATAATAGATTACGGCCTATAGTTTATATTAAAGCTGTCATGGCTTCATCCATCCATTCATTCACTCGTGCGTAATAGGGAGACAGCACTTAAAAGCCTTAGTGTTAGTTAGTCAATGCGTTCCTGTTGTATTTCGTCTCTGTAGAAGAAGCCCAAAGTGTGTTAATGACACGAGTTGGGTACAATGAAGCCAGCAGCAGGCGTCGCCCCTCTTGTCTCCCCGCTTTTCAGATTGCGCTGCCTGTGCGCACTTAGATTGAGCAACTTAAAGTGCACCAGAACAGTTGCTGGTCTGGAGACGGATTCACTGTTCATACGCAACGTGTTAGTGTGTTGTAAGTCTAAAGTCTAAATAAACAAATTATAATCCGCGAGATGCTTTACACCCTTGCAGCACCTACGCTGTACTGCGCTTTGATGTGTGCCAAGGCGCGGAGAGCTGCGTCAAGGTAGCTACAATAAGACCGGAAACCAGACCGCAATGCCTTCAAAATGAAAGCAGTCACCAGAGAGTTTCCTTTGCCTTTTTTTAACGAGGCAAAAGAAGCGATTATGAAAATATAAGCATGAACCAGAATTCAAGAAGGAATGATGAGTATTTAAAACATGTTTAATTATAATGTAGGCTGCTGGAGGTGCAAAATGTGGTCATATACAGTACACATGTAGGCTGAGGTCTGCAGTTGTAGCTCACCTTGCCCAAACGTTTTGGATGAAAAACAATAAAAAGGCACCTCGGTTCCAATTTTATATATCGTTTGTTTGCAAAAATATTAATTGGAAGGGGAATTTTATTTTGTAGACGATGGCCAGATGCTGCAGTTATTAATATGGCTGACTTGACTCCGGTGGCGGAGACTGGAGTCACCGACGCCTTTTGTTACCGGGAGCGACGGTGGCGCACAGACTCACCGAGCGGAAAGGGCGAGGCGCGACGCATCAGACAGCATGATGTGAGAAATAGGATCACTCGCCCTCTTTGTCAACGCGCAGCCTATCGCCTCTGTGGTGTTCACAACATTAATCAATATATCAGGATTAAAGTTCAAACCTCTCAGACAATGAAGCCGGGCCAATTAAAGAGCCATAATAATAAAAACATCTTAGACTTTTCTTTCATGTTCAACCACGAGGAATGAAGTGACGATTGAAGAGAATTTATTTGTCCCTCTCTTACATTGCGTGATGAGTCACAGGCCTATATGTCTGTCTCCTGATGGCTGCATGGCATCACCACGTTAACGCCTTTTGTAAGTTAATTAAACTACAAAACCAAAATGTAACACATCAGCCAGAGATGACTCACACTATTTGTTGTAAGAGCACCACATTTTCCTCACATCAGCCAGTTAATGTCTGTGGATAACGCCAGGCTGATCACCATGTGTGATGCAAGTACAGGATCAGTGCATCTGGCTGGGAGTGGCAAATATGTCTGTCAAGTGTACCTCCATATGGATGGGGAGTGTTTGCAGAGTAATAAGACTGGTGATAGGTCAGCCACTAGCAGCCAGATATCACAGAAGGTTAAGATCCCTGTGTTTCTAAAATACTTTATAGCTTCTTTCCCAATTGTCAGTAATGTAGATTGGATTTAAAGGTCACACACTACACACACATGCACAAACACACAGCATGTCATCAAGGCCTCGCACTCCCACCTCCCCTTGCAGCCCTTAGGTTATAGAATTAAGAGCCAATCTTCCTAATGGATGGAGATCTCTCAGATCTTTTGGCAGCTAACTCAGAGGGAATGTGCTGACCCTGATGGCACAGACTTTTTGGGAGGCTCATCACTCACTGCAGCTCTATCTGTCTGCACATCTATCTGTGTTTCTCTCACACACGTGCACACAAAGACATACAGTAACGGGCTGGTCTGATAGTTTGCTCCTCATATAATGTACAAAAAGCTGTGCACACATTCATTCCATTTAATGCGATAATGCAACATAAACATCAGTGGTTAAGGGTGATTGATTTTTATTTGATCTTTCTGGCTTTTATATATAGTGCTGAACTTTATGTAAGTGCATGCGTTATCAAACATATATAAGAGGCATTTGAGAACTTTGGCTTTTTTGTTAAATGAGAAAAAAAAACAAGTTTTTATTAATCAAAGGTATTGAAAAAATATTGATTTGATATCCAAACTCAGGTACCAGTATAGAAAAACACCCGTCCCTGGATATAATGTAATTAAAATTCCTCTCTACTAGATGCTATAATGTTGATAAGTTTGCAAATCTGTTAATGTTAAAGGCAGCACTTGCACCCTTGTTGCCCTCTAGCCTCCCTGTCTTTGGCTTGTTTATTGTTTTGCTGTTTGCTGGCTCTTCTGTTTTATATGTATTTATTATCCACCATGCCTCGCATTGTATTTCAATAACGGCTGCAAAACAAGCATCCCTCAAGGGGACAATGGAGTTGAATGAAGTAAGACTACAGTGCCCTCACCCGAAATGACCTAAGAGGGAATGCAGGGAAGAGTGTAACAGTGAGTAAGCGAGGAAAGAGGGGAAATATCACAAATCACGAGCTCCCCTGACACCAAACATCAGCACTTTTTTCTCCTGGCCTGCTTTTTTTTCATTTTTAATGCTCTCCCTCGGTGAGTTTTGGTAGGATCTGACCCATATGTTCTCAATTACCTCCCTCTGGCCCACATTGTCATTCTGGTATTTCCTCCATCCCTCCTTCCCTCCCTCTGTCTATCTCTCCTTCTTTTGTGTAATCTCTTGATTCTTCCGCTGTCAATCATGCTGTCAGTGAGTCCCTCCCTTTGTTACCATCCTCTCCTTTCAGGACATCTATACCTTCCTCCCTGCCCTGCCCTTTCATCCTACATGTCCTTTCCACCACGATCACAACATTTAGAGCCTGCCTTCAGACCCTACATGGCCTGTTGACAGTTTGCCATAAACTGCTGGTTTAGAAAGAAAATCAGATGTCTCTGTTTTGTATTTTTCTCCCCAAGCTTGTGTGGTGTTTCTTGATTAATTCTGGAAATTTCTCAAATTGAAAGAGAAGAGTTGCGTCAAGGTTTTTAATATTAATCAAGCTGCAGCAAAAATATGAAGAATAACGGTACTTTGTTAGCATAATATGCTGATTTGCATAATCAGAGGTGCAGTCAAGTGCAAAAAGCAGCATGTAGAGCCTCCTGTCACCGATTTAGCTGTATGTGAGCAGGGCGTGGCCTTTATCCTAACATCATACAAACCGTGTTAAAGCACAATAACGCCTACACTGACACCAGGGAGATATTGTGTTTCCTTTTAATTACATCTACAGGAGCCATGCAGGCCCTATGGGAGTTAACATTTAACCTTCATCTTTTGCCTCAACCTGACTCAGGAACACTGCATCAGAAATTTGAGTTCATCCTTATTTTTTTCTTCTCTGATAATTTTTTTTGCTGAGATCATCAAAGCTCAAAGCCACAAAGCAGCTGACTTGGAGGCCCGCATACCCCAAAATTGAATCACCATCTGATTAAGTCTATTCATATACAGTTAACTGGAAGTGTCTTTGTTAAGCGCCCCCGCACTCCTGACCCCAACTGTGAGTACATTTGATACACTGGCATAAAAGGCTGAGAAAGAAAATGCAAGTGTATGTGTGTGTGTGTGTGTGTGTGTGTGTGTGTGTGTGGTGTGTCACAGTGTGAAGATGTTGTAACAGAACTGTCACAAGGCTTGTTCGCTTGGCCTTGAATGTTCCTACCCAGATTCTATGTGACTGACAGTAACTCACATGCTTTACGTGGGCGCGGAAGAAAAGCTGCAGATGCATTTGAAGGCGATGTGTGAGTCATTTGTGTGTGTTTCCTGTAAAAACCTGAACACCCCCGTCTATCGATTTGTGCCACACTGTACCCCCAATTAAACCAGCGAGGCTGATGAGTTTGAAGAATCCAAATCGGAAAGAAAAAAAAAATTGGGAGGAAGATGGAGATGGGTGAGAGCGGGTCAGCATGAATAACAAAGGGAAAGAGAAGTGCCCATGGTGAAAAAGTGAAAGTATAGTTTGAAAATAAACCAAATGACTCTGCCTCAGACAGAAAGATGCGGATATGAAAAGAAAAAGAGAGAGGGAGATCTCTCTAATTGGAGTGGATAGACAGCGAGGCGCATGGCTCCCTCCAGACCATTAGAGAGGCCCGGGTGGAGAGGGTTTGTTCCCAGGAGGAGAGAGCTTGTCTTATGCTCAGCCATGGGGAAGAATCTGGCAGGGACTCTGATGAGTGGAGAGAGGCCAGGGGAGAAGATGGGCCCCATTGTCCTGTCTCGCTGATGAGGAAGAGGGGATACGGGACGCTCCTCACAAGAATAAAGAAAGAGGATGGTGAGGACAGAACAAGACAGTGAAGGATGAAGAAATAGTGAGGAAAGTGAGAGCGTCAAAGACAAGACCCAGACGCAGACAGGAAGAGACGAGGGACTGGAGGAGAAGGGGAAGGAAGATGTTCTAAAGTTGTAAGAGGAAAAGGAGTCAGGAAGTGAAAGAGAAAGAAGGGAAGAGAAAAAGTGAGGAGAATGGAAACGGGGCGGGAGGGAGAGCTGTGTCGAGCGGGGTGGATAAGGGGGAGGAAGAAAACAGGAAGAGAGTTATAATGCTGCAGTCGTCTCTGTTTCCTGTGTCCCTCGAGTGAGCTCTCCTGATTGGTCAGTGAAGGCGCCGGGGGTACGTTTACGTCGTGGCTCATCCTTCTGGAAAGAGACGGTTGTGACTCGCAGGATCCTGCTATGATAAGGATAGTGTGGGAGTAGAAAAAGACAATATGGTGATTGTGGCGCGCGGCACGTTGAATGAAGTCTGTGGCGTCAGGATAGTGGTTCTGATGCTTTTCTATCACACAAACAATTCTGTCCATTACAGTCAAACCTAAGCTAATCTGAATAAATAGAAATAAATGGATCTCTGGAAGCCACACATTTATAACATTAGCATCTTTCAGTACTTTTCTTCTTCCTTTCCATGCTGTAACTTAAAAGAACCAAACAACCCACAGCTGTAGATGTGGATATGAAAACAGCTAACCCCTGCCACAGATCGGTAAACAGCTAGCGTACTTTGGCACCAATCCCGAAGCAAGCTGTTAAACAAAAGGAAAAAAAGTAGGCCATTATTTCCTTCCTTAGAGTCAATACGGTGACTACTCTTACTCTGCTGTGGTTTATCGCGTTCCTTGTTTGCTTGCATTCTTCAAGAGCAAACTCTTGGAGGTTCGGCGGACAAGGAGGCTGCATGTTTGCAGGTCTGCCATTGTTGTGAGCAAAACAGTAAAACCACTGCTCTTACTATTCCTGCTTGCATCCTTCCCACTGCGGCAGAGAAACCATGAGGCTGCAGATGGCAGGATGCTCCAGAACACTTTGGGCTCCATCACTGAATCCTCCTGGGGTATTGGACTGCTTGTGGATCCTGTTCAAGCTGAAGAACTTAATCTATTAAAATACACCAGAACTTATCTTTAATTTAATAAAATAGTTTTAAAAACTGACTGTATATTCGAATCTTGCCCACATTGCACATTGCAATGCTCGCCTTGGAGATAACAGTATTGACCCGGAGAAAAGATTTAGCCTGAATTGGCGTAGTGATACTTCCAGCTTTGGTGTTATGGAAAGGATAATTGAAAACAATCTCTCACTACTTTTCCATTTCTGCAGTGCTTCCCAATCTTTTTTGTCAGTCGTACTCCGACAGCCCTGTGAGATAAACTCCAGTACCCCTTCATCAGCACCACCCACCAACTGCTTATTCTTTAACTATTGGTGCTATAAACGTGGATATACTAGTGGATGATAAACTAGAGTTTAGATGAGCTTGGTTACGTTTGCATTTATACTACTATTACTTTCAACTGTTGTTTATCCATCACTATAAGCTAACAGCTTCTCTTTGCTTCTCTGCTCACATGCTCTTAGTTACAACTTGTAGTGCTCAGGTTACATTCTTTTCAGTAACTGGAAATAGGTAAAGACAGAGAGCCCTTTGCTTTACCTTCCTCTCAGGACGGGTCTTCCTGTGCTTTCTGTTCCAGGTCGGTGATAAGGTGATGGTGCTGAACCGCTTCGGGCTGTGGCAGGAGGTGGCGGTAGTGCCGGCAAGCCACACCTTCCTCATACCAGAGGGCATGAGTTTCGAGGAGGCAGCAGCCCTCCCTGTGAACTACATCACTGCCTATATGATGCTGTTTGACTTCGGCAACCTGCGGCCCAATCAGAGCGTCCTCATTCATGCTGCTGCAGGTAAGGAGACAAATGCAAACAGACTATATGCTCATAAGACAAACCCTTTTATTTTGTGTCAGTCTTAGGTTGTGAATGGATGCATCACTCTTCATTAAAGGTTGGATTCATCATACATTGGTTAATATTTAATTCACAAACTAAGACAAACATTGCTTCACCCTGTTTGTCACAGTATCTAAAAAATCCAATATAGATATATGTTGTAATCAACTGAAAACCACATTTAATCAATTTCATCTCAGTATGTGTCAGGCCAGCACTGAACTCTGCTAACTCTTGTTAGCAGCCACATAAATGAATTCAGTATTACACCACAAATCTTTTGAGTATCTATAGAGAATAATTTTGAAATCCTCTGCAGAGGCTCAATGCAAAGATGTAAAGCTTGAGAGAGGGCCTTGAATGTTTACTGTAGCAGACCTCTTCCTTCTCTGCACCTCCTGTTCATGCATTTATTTTCTATAAGAATTATGGCTGTTGGAGAAGGTCCCACTGTTCATTAGTATGAGAAATGGCTCAGTGTTTTTCACCCTCTAGGACTGCACTGATACTGGAGCACCTGCCACCTGGACTGTAGGGTCAGAGGTCAGAGTGAGTGGGTGGGAGAAAGATGGGGATATAGGGAGTAAAAGCACCTGTTTTTGGGTGTGATGCACTAAGCCTGAGAGCATTTGATTTTGCTGTGTTTACACAATAAGGCCAGCTGGAGAGAATGGGATTGCATTAGCCAAAAGAAATGATTCTCTCCCCATTTCTCTCTCGGTATCTGTTGGTGTACAGCTCTCACTTTTCCTCTCGTTCCCACTCTTTTTGTTCAGAGGGCGTCAGAATGGGATCCCTCGGCATTTGGGACAGTGTGTGGGTGTAGATGGCTAAGAGAAGTAAGCACATAATGAAACCTGAGCCTGTTTTCTCTCTGGGAGACAAAAAAATGTCAGAGAGCACGGGGAGACTGCCAGCCCAGGTGGATATATCCCTTGGTATTAATAAAACTGAAAATGAATGAATTTGTAAAGTTAGCATTAAACTATGCAGTTTCCTCAGAGCTGAATGACGGCTAACAGATTCATAGTTGTGGGACTTGTGGTCTACAGAGGAATCCCAAATGTTTGCGTTCACCATATCATCAAGCTGATGTCACTCACCCCTGTGAACATCTCACCAGAGGTTTTCTGTGCAGAGTATGTTTGCTATAGGAGAAATGCTGTGGAAGACGGTTTGGTCAAGCCGGCGTCTCTGGTTTCTCCAGGCAGGCTGCCAGTCTTGGCTCGCCAGCTGTCCGGACATCAGGATTGTAAAAGCACATTACTGAGGCTATGACAAAAACATTTGCTTAACAGTCTGCTTCACTGCACTCTGTCATTCTTTGCATGTGTAAATCATTATCATACTGTATGCTCTACAACACTGCTCTGCTGACACTTTTAAAGCGCTGTTGTTAATAGCGGTGTACATGATAGATGTACGCTTTGTGAAAGAAGGTGTTACCAGGGTGAGAGGTGTGCACATCCTTCTCTTAACACCGCGTCCCTGCATTGTGGGGGTGCATGGCTCACATGGTGCTGGTAGCTGAGTGTGGGTGGGGGGGTCCCACTACTGAGTCTGCTATGTGATTAGAGAGGGAGACATTGCAAACAGGGTGGGATATATTATTTACTAAATGTATTCCAATACTAGAACTGGTTATTTTTGCAGTATTTTAGATTTAAACCATGTATTCCTGCTAGACATCACCTTGAGCTCTGGGAAGATTTAAGGGGCACATATTCAATGTTTTCTGACATTTACAAGGGCGTTATATTGGCTTAATGTGAAGCTACATTTACCTGCAACCCCTCTTTACAGCCCATCCTCAGGCCACGTATGTCTGAGTTGTGAGCAGATCAAAGAGATTTTCCTATCTATGATTATCTCCCATGAATATCTTTTAGAGGCCTGAGTAAGTAAATACTTTGCCGTATTTCACGAAAAAAGTTTTTTCTTATCGTCTTGATAAAACCTTGTGAGATTCCCTGGTTTGCAACCAACTAATCCATTCAGATGTCATTTATTTGACTATAATGCGTCACATGAAAATGTGGAACACCACCACTGTTGCCTCAATTAAAATTCCTTGTTTCAGTTTTAAATGTTTTCCAAGAATTTATCTCCTTTTTCAGAAGTATTTGGAGTCAAAATCAATTCTAAGTAACACATTAGAATACAGAGCATGTATTGTATTTTCGATTATGAAACAGTAATTAACAAGTATTCTGTTACTACTCGACCCTGCCCACAGCTCCAGTGAACATCCCATTTAACCACACACAGTATTAGTGTGTGGTGAAATGGCTTTACTTCACCTCATCAAGCTCTCTTACAGGACTTTGCAACTCATTATTGCATAAATAGTCATATAACCAACTAAAAAGCAGTGACTTTAAGTGCTGAACATGCCTGCACAGCACTGCTAGATCAGTTTATGTTGCGCGCTGATAAAATATTAAACTTTTACGTGAGATTAACTGGACCTATTAGCACAACTGAGGAGTAACAGTGGTACAGAAGACAGACAGTGATTTGTTTTTCACCCTCAGTCACAGGGTATACGGTTTGGTAATTGTGATTTAAACTAGTGTAATTTTTATTGAATGCCCTTATTAGATTATAGGGTTTCTTATCACAGAAGCCAAATATAAATTTTATTCTACTATCATGAATCTTTTCATCAAAGCATCGTTCTACTAAATGCTTGAGGGGTTCATCCTGACTTGGTCTGTCTTATGGCTGACCTGTTCATTCTCATGATAAAGATATAATCCACTGGTTTAATCACATTAGGAAAACAATCATCCTCTTTTCAATTACTTTTAGATTACTTTGTCTCTAAAGCCCCTGGAACCTGAAGTTAAACAGATAATTTATTCTAAATGCTTAGAAATTTTAATAATATTCATATGACATTATCATCTTTAACAGGATAGACAGAAGTGGTAGTACGGAGAAACAGAACTACAATATAAAGCAAATATTGAAGGTAATATATAATATTGTTATAGTTATAGACATTTGGGGAAAACATTTGCTTTCTTGCTGAGAGTTAGATGAGAAGATCAATACCACTCTCATGTCTGTACAGTACTCATGAAGCTACAGCCAGCAGCTGGTTAGCTTAGCTTAGCATAAAGACTGGAAACAGGGTGAAACAGCTTTCCTGGCTCAGGACCAGGACCAGTTGCCAGGCAACCAGCATAGAATCCAAGAAGTTACTGGTTCGGACCAAGAAATAGTCTGGCACATAAACTCCTGTTAAATGGCTTTCATACTTTGGTTTTTGTACAGATTAAACAAATGAGATAAATAAGATATAAAGTGTTAATTAGTGAGCTTTTAAGGTGCTTGTTGGCAGATTTTGTTACTTTTGGATAAAACCAGGCTAGCTGTTTCCATCTGATTCCAGTCTTTATGCTAAGCTAACTGGTTGCTGGCTTTAGTACATACTAGTATATAGAGTATTATCACTGTTTATCTAACGCAGAGTGAATAAGCACATTTCTGACAGAACAGAAATAACAACATAACTTTAAAGCTGGTCACACTGATTGATGATCATACATGTGTTGGTCTTAAATACTACTGTTGTAAATCTTGAACAACGACAGCTCTATATGGCAAATAAGCTGTTGAACTCTATAGTGAGGGCCCTTACAGAGGGATGATGGGTATCCATCCTCTTGTATTTTTGCCTCTCTATTGTTCCGTGTTTGCAGGTAATGTCAACTCATTAAGAGCTCTCCATAAAGAACATTATTTCCTGAAAAGTAGGCTGACCTTTACCCATCACGATCAGGTGACCAGTGCAGAACGCCTGACTGGTGCTTACACACTATCAGCCGTCATGCCTTTATGTGTGTGTGTGTGTGTGTGTGTGTGTGTGTGTGTGTGTGTGTAGTAAACTCTGGTGAATAGTCCTCAGCTGCCTCTCTCGTGGGTCCGCTCCTGTCCTCTCTCTCCAAACAATAGCTTGTTGTATTTCCTCCCATCGTGCCTCCCTTCTCCACCGCACCGCACATCTGCATCCTCCGTTCTCCTCCTCCCCCTCCGGCCCTCCATAACCTCTGCTCCCTCTGCATGACCTCTCCATATCTGTGCTCGTCTCCTCGTCATCGGGGAACGTGCGCACGTTTCCCCTTTTGTTTTCCCCAGAGGGCTTGGCCGGGGGGGGGGAAGTTCAGCGACATTTGGATGTATCTCGTGGGTCTTCCACTGTGCCAACAGCCTTTCCTCTGACCTCTTCCTGAACTGGTCTTAATGTTTATGAACCCTAGCCAGCCACCCCGCCACCACACCCACACTACACATTCCTGCATACATATGGGGCTCTGCTGCTTCCAACGATGACGTCCACCTCTGTTTTATTTATGAGCTCTCGAGTGACTGCAGGCCAACGTCAAGTGTCATGCATTGTGTTGCAGATGTGGAATGCATAATATGAATTAGGTGGTTCTTCAGGAGCCTGTGTCATCAATGTATCTGATGATTTTGCTTCACGGACTCAGCCACTTCCCCCAGTGCGTCAAGATTTTGTGACATTTTGGCGCCAACGCTGCCAAAATGTTGAAGAACACTGCTCACTAATAGCACTGTAAGGTGCTTTGGTCTACTAAATAGCATATGTTATCAATCACCTCTTCTCATAAAGTTCCACAGCAGTGTGTTTGAGGTTTGTGTGTTAGATTCCACATATCCTCTGTGCTATTTAAGCCGGCTGTTATTAAAACTTTTATTTTTCCCACCAGCCAATTATGGTGGCTTCCATACTTATGCAGCTGCTTCTTGCTGTGGTATCTGTGTGTAGGACAGACTTACATCAGGTTACACTGAAGACTATCTGGAAACACTTGATGTGAGAGGCTTCCAGCTGCTGTATGTCAGTGCAGTACAACCTTGAGGGTGATGGGTGACAGCAGACACAGCTGAGTTAAGTCCTTATTAATAGTAATCTACAGAGTTGAGCT